TTTTTATTTTCCAGCTTATTTTGACTACAAGGATGAGTCTGGGTTACCGAAGCCTCCATCGTACAACGTGGCCACCACACTGCCCAGTTACGACGAGGCAGAGAGAACCAAGGTTGAAGCCACCATTCCCTTGGTTCCTGGGAGGGTGAGTCCCACAATTTCTGCTTTAAATCCTGCCAATAACGAGTCATTTTTTGGAACTTCCAGGGATGGTGATGTTACACACCCCCAAGAGTTCAGTGCCTGATTTTGGTGTGGTTTTGTTTTGATTTTCCTCTGGGCGGCTGTGCCGATGTCAGACATCTCAGTAACGCCAGTTTGTGCAATCCAGATTAGTTTGGCAAGCTGACAGAGGCTCTGCGCTGCACCCGTGTGCTCTGGCACTGGTTTTTATTTTACTTTTTTCCAAAAAAGCTTTAGGATTAATTGTTCAGCCGTCTAGCATATCTGCCCTTGATATCCCTGCTGCTTGCTTAGGTGACTTTTCCAGAGGTCGGTGGAGCTGATGTAAGGGTGATAAAACCATTCTGTCTGGATAATTATTTTTTCATTTTTTATTTCTTTTTGGGTTTTTTTCCAACATTCTCTCTTGTTCAGCCTCTCCCTCCACCCCTGCTAGCATTACATTGACCACTGCTCGTTATACTTTCTCACAGACACCAAATTCCTTGCTGAGATGGTAAGTTTTACGAGTAGAGGAATTCTTTACACTGAGAGCAAGAACATGTTGGACCTCGACTATCTTAAAAAGGAAAATAAAATAGAAAGTATGGCCAGTGACTTAATATTCCATGCCCTGCATCATCTCAGGAGGAGAAGCAGGATTTTTTTCCTGCTTGCATTTGTAGCCTTTAGAGGTTTCGAATTCCCTGACCCCACGAAGCATTTTGCATCCCTCTGTTGTACGCTGCTTTTTGAGGGTTACACAATTCGCTGGCCCTTTCTTGAAGTGCAGATCTGGGATTCCTGCGTGGACTGGAGGGACTGAAATCCACCCCTCTGGTTTGCAGGATGACGATTTTGTGACCCGGGATGACTTTGACGACACCGACCAGCTGAGGATAGGAAACGATGGCATCTTCATGCTAACTTTCTTCAGTAAGTACATGGTGGAACTTACCTTTTTGGAGGCAGTGACCCAAAACAGAGTTATTTTCATGCTTGCATTTATGTAGCGCCAGGAAAAACTTGTGTGCAAGGGGTTTATGGGCGTTTTTTTTACCCCTTGGAATATAAAGAGGGCTTGACCTGCTGCTTTTCTGCTGCTTTCTCAGTGGCATTCCTCTTCAACTGGATTGGATTTTTCCTGTCTTTCTGCCTGACCACTTCAGCTGCAGGACGATACGGGGCCATTTCTGGCTTTGGTCTGTCCCTTATTAAGTGGATCCTTATCGTCAGGGTAAGTCACAGAGTGCAAAAACACATGCAGAGACACTGGTGTTCTTTTTCCCCAGCTCGTTTCTACCTCAGTTATGCTGAAGTTAGTTATAAATTTAGCTTTTTATAATGAAATAAGACTTTGATCCCTTTATTCACTGAGAACAGAGCTTTTTCATCATTCTGTCCTGTTTATATGCTGGAATTATTATTGTAATAAAAGAGAAAACGAGGAGGTGTGAGGAGGAGGAGGCGGCGGCCACTGCTCTGTCCCTGGCCCACTGGTGCCCTCTGGTGTGGTGAGCCCGCGGCACAAGCAGGAGGGGATCAGGAGGAGGAAGAATGCTCTTGTTTTAATTACAGAAAGTTTTGATTTATTGTTTTATTTATATATTAAAACATCCACTGTGCTCCCTTCCACTAAATCACACAGGGAGAGGAAGGGGGTGACCGATCACAACTGGTCTGTGTTACTGGGTGCAAAGACAGGGCCCTGCTGGTACCCACCTCTGCCTGCACAGGCAGCAAAGGCTGATAGAACAGTTTTAAAACTCAGAGTGGGGGAAAGAGAAACCTTTCTGGGGCGGGAAAAAAAGATGATATAGATGTGCTGATGCTGGAAGGAATGGGAAAAAAAGGCAAAATGTGTTTTGGAGGGATTGGGAGAAAATATTTCTGTCAGAAGAGCTTTATTTCACAGAATCACAGAAT